GTTACTAAAGCCTCTACCCATCCCTGTTGGTCCGGGGCAGAGCATCTCCATGGACTTCATGGCTACCCTCGTGACCAGCAAGAGTGGCAAGAGACATATTTTCGTCATAGTTGATAGGTTCACTAAGTTTGTTAGACTAATTGCCATGCCGAAGACCGTCAGGACTGAACACGTCATCAAGTTATTCATGGATAATTGGGTGAGTGATTTTGGACTGCCAAAGACGATCGTTAGTGATAGAGATGTGTGTTTCACAAGCGACATGTGGAAGAAGGCCGCTGAATAGACGGGCAGCCAACTCCAAATGACTTATAGGAATCATCCTGAAGCCAATGGGCAGGCTGAACAGATAAACCGGGTGGTGCAGCATCTGCTGCGGCATTATATTAAGCCGGCCAGAAGGACTGGGATGAGAAATTACCTCTCATCGCCAGTCTGTACAATAATGTTGTACACAACACCACTGGGGTCACCCCGAATCAGCTGCATCTAGGGTGGAAGCCTAGATCTGCTCGAGACTTCCTCCTTCCTAAAAACCGACCTTCTGCAACTCATGGAACCATCGAGTTTGGTGTCCAGTACGAGAAGTTGTTGCAGCAAGCTGTCGAGAACATCAAGAAGTCTCAGGAAGCAATAATTGCTTCTTAGAACAAGCATTGTGGACAGTCCACATTTCAGGTAGGGGAACGTGTTTGGGTTAAGGCTAGGGAACTGAGACAGGAGTTCGACATCTCTAGGAAACTAATGCCTCAATACTTCGGTCCTTGGGAAGTCCTGGATGTTGTGGGTAGTGAGATGGATGGTCCCTCGTACGTTATCCATATCCCTGGTCACTTACACACTCACCCTGTGTTTCATGCCTCGAAGCTCACTCCTTTCGCTGAGACAGAACAGTTCCCATCAAGGAGATCTATGCTGCCCCCAACCATGGATGGCCACGTGGGCGTCGACGCTATCCTGGAGCATAGAGACATGCCTGTTCCCAAGCCAGCTATGTGATACGCAACCTCACGCCCCCTCGCGATGTCCCGTACGGGGTCGCTGATCAGAGTTCTAGGAGGGGCGTGGCCGAGGATTTTTGGTCGTAAGGGTTGAGTCTCCCGGACGGAGCGGGAGGCCCTCGTTTTGTGCCAGAGGTTTTCCTCAGAGTTGAACTGTCGTCGCGAAGTCCCGTGGGGGTCGGATCACTCTGAAACGACAAAATCAGAAGGTTTTCCGCGAAAATGAATTGTCGTCGTGCATCAGGACGGGAAAAGGCATCAAGGGGAGGGGGCCATGGCGGTGGACGACAGAAACTCCGGTCGTCATGGGTTCGGGGGATAGGTGGTGGGTTCGAAGCCTTCAGGCCTCGGCGTCGGACTCGCAAAGTCCGCGCGAAAGTTCCCGAGAGGGCGAAACGGCGGGAGGACTCGCCGGCATCCGAATTCGAAATTGCGCGGGCAGCGCCCCCGTACTACGGGAAAGCTCGGGGAAACGTGTCGCTCCCTCGTAGCCCAGGACCAGCCGTCGCCAAGAACACGAGTCCCCCTGGCGACACCAGCGACAATCAAACTGTAGCCGCCACGCGGCGTGAGCGGCCGACCAAGGCAACACGGTCAAACCCGTATAAGGCAATATTAGAGTCGGGGAATCAAAACGCTCAATCAAGACAAACCCGTTCCCCCTTATATCACAAGCCCGAGGCGGGTCTCGCCAACACACTTGCTCCGTTAGCCTCAGCGCGCGCCGTACGTCCGCATCGCAGTAGACGCTGTCGTCATCTGTGATGGGGAAGGTCGGTAGCAAGATGAGACGATCGGAGGTAGGCGATGGACACGGGCAAGATCCCGCGCTCCCGGTCATCCGAACCAACATCGACTCCATACAACACTCGATGTAACCTTCTCTCTCTGGGTTAGTGCGTCGGAGGAAGACGGCGGAGCCAAAGCTCTCTTCCCCTTGCGGGGGCGTCGACCGCGTGCGCGGACGCAGGCGGTTGACGTCACCGGTACGGAATCGAGAAGCTCAAAAAGCGATGGCTATCAGTTCAAAAAGGAAGGCGAGAGAGAGGGAGAGAGAGAGAGAGTTTACATCGAGAATGCGCGGGCACGCACGAAGGGCCGCGGAAGGGAGGGGAACAACGGGATTAACACACTCATACTCCTAAGCAGACGGTCCCCCAGTTTTGTTCCTCCGTCCCCGCCCGGATAAGTACATACACACATACATGCAGGCAATCAACAACCCTCGACAAGACATCCAATCATCCATAGACCTTTGACATCACTCATGCGCGCAACAAGCTCCCATCACTCGGGGCCTCACACACACGTCATGCATAGACAAAGCAGCAGCTGTCTCTTATACACATCTAGATGTGTATAAGAGACAGCATACATGCAGGCAATCAACAACCCTCGACAAGACATCCAATCATCCATAGACCTTTGACATCACTCATGCGCGCAACAAGCTCCCATCACTCGGGGCCTCACACACACGTCATGCATAGACAAAGCAGCAGTGGAGACATAAGCGAGTCCTTCTTGTACACAAAAATTCTCAATTAGCGGCCGCCCCCARGCGCCGCCTTCAAAACTTCCCAAGACCACCGACCACCATAGCCACAAGGCCCTGCCGCGGCCAGYGTCCAATCCCCACCACTGCTCAGTACCTCCGACTGCRTCGCCCCGAGACTACCKCGGGCCCACCCCRCGTCGTCACTCCGCCCGTCCTTGGGCWCGTCGAGCCTGTTCGGCGTCGCGGACTTCGCGCATAGCTCGCGCAGCATTGCAGCCGAGATCAAAGAGAGAGAGAGGAGAGGGTTGCGCGAATTTATAGCGCGGGAGGCGGCGGGTTGTCAGCGCGGGAGGCGGCGGGTTGTCAGCGCGAGGTGCCGGCAGCGCAGGTTGTAGATGAGCAGGACAGGAGGGAGGTGGGGAGTTAGAGGGTTCGACCCGCGGGATGGCATGGTCCTGCGTGATTGGGGTGTCCGTTCAAGTGGTGCACGGTTTCCCGCTCTCCACATTGATCCCAACTACGCAGCCAATCACTTCGCGGAGTAAGGATCGAGCTGGGCGGAGGGGAAGACGAAGAGTCCTGCATGGGGAAAACGCGCGCAGCAAGAAGGGAAGATGGTCGGGGATGCAAAACAAGAAACGGGGGTGCGAGACGCGCGAAGAAGTCGGAGCTTAGGCGCGCGCACAAAAATTCAAAAAAAAGGTTCCATTCGAAACCGTTTCTTGCTTTTCATACCGCGGCCGCTATTCGCCCGCGCGGGAGTTATTAACCAAACAAAATGAAAAAGTCGTTTCAAAAAGAAAACAAAAGCAAAAAGAAGGAAAAACCCCTTTTTGTCTGTGTCCGTACTTTGGGGCTTCCACGGGATTTTTCCTCAGGGATACAGCAAGCCGCGCGGTACAGATCTGAGCTTATCACAAGCTGGCAAGGGTAGACACCTAAACCTGCAAGAGAATACAAAGTATGGTTCAGGCATCATACGGATCCTACGAGGGAAGAACTTGTCAAGACAGCTCCTCAGATCGTGGCGAGTATGAGAAGAAACTGAAGGGTAAGGCACCAGCATGAAGCATCTCAACGAACTTTCGAAGCTAAGGGGGATGGAATGCGAGGAACGAGCCCTTGTTTTGAAGCTAAGGGGGATGGAATGCGAAGAACGAGCCCTCACAAGGGCCTTTATCGGGCAAACACATGTTCTGGGCAGAGGCCCCCAGCAAGCAGAGTGCCCGCCCTAAGTGAAGGCGGGCCAGAATATTCATCAGAGGCCAGAATTTGACATTTTCATATATGGGTATTCAGGCTGTTGCAGCCCGCCAGTTAGTTGACTGGACGCGTGAACCTCACTAAGCTGCGTCGTACAGTTGACCCAGACCTTGGTAGTTGCGCCTGGGCACATACACACAAAGCAGGGCCAATACATCATGAAGTGGCCACCAGCCTATGCAAAAGCATTATTGTCAACGTACCTACCCTGGGTCCTGTGCAAATGCAGCAAACGGCCTAAGTCCGGAGACTCGGGTCATGCCCAACTGTAAAGGGCCCAGGCCCTCAACTGTAGTCTCTGGCCTGGGCGCAGGAACTGGGGCCCAACAGGAAGCTGCTGGAAGCTTCCAGCCAGGCCACACACAGCATTCAGGAGGCTGCCACTTCCATGTAGGAGGAGAGGCAGCCCAGGCCAGGCATGCTGGCCTACGTGGGCAATGAGGTCACACTGCTGCGCTGCTGCATTGGACGCTGTGCTAAGGCCAGAGCGCTGGTGGGGCGCATTGAGGTGAGGAGCTGCGCTGCAGGGCAGCGGCGCGCTGGCAGCCATAGTCGGGCTGTTGGACGCTAGGGGGTAAGAGGGCGATCTGGTCGTCTTCAGGGGAGGAGGCGAGTGAGTGGGTTATCAAGGTCTGATGAGGGTGACGAGATACGTACCTGGTGCATGAAGAGAGGTCGGCTATGGTGTGGACATCATGTACATTGCTCTTCGAGAGTAGAAGTGAGCCTGTTGCGTGAACACAACTGTAGGTAGGATAGTTGAGTAGAGTAGGCTAGGCGCTGGGCGCCAGACAGAGAGGAGCGACTTTGGATACTATGTTGGTGTGGCCTGAGGGCTTGAACATTGGCTCATTACTTCATTGTGTTGCTCTATTTGGATGGATTCTCGGTGCAATTGTGCTCTCTGCTTGTACACGAGTACTTGGACATCTGTGTGATTTCACAACTTGGTTTTCTGTATATCATTCACACTCATATTCCTTGCACCCTGACGAGTGCCAGGTGCGCTTCCTGGCTGAAACGTGCGTAGCGCAATCAGCACATTTCTTCTGAGCTCAGTGCATGCAGTTGAGTATGGAAGTTTTTGTCGAAGTGTGCACGAAGGACAGTCTATGGCCTCTGTTTATCACTATTCTGTGATACATAGTAACCGGATGAGAATTGGGACTCACACTGGTGGCTGTGTCAACAACGCAACGGGTAGATTGTAGCTTTAGAAGTAAGAGCTCCGTCTATAGCATAGCTTTGGGAAAAGAGCAAGAGACACACTAGACACGTACAAGTCAGCGGGCGACAAGAGCGATATCTGCAAGGTAGATTGCAAGAGTGATATGATGGCGTCTGCAGGAGCTCCAGGAGGAAACCCCCCAAGTATCTACTTCAACTGCGGGCAACAGGGACACTTCGCACGTGAATGTCCCATCGGGAAAGGGGCCTTCAGGAACAATTCAAGACATTGGCAGTCGAGACAGGATAAGGAGAGGGAGAAAGAGGAAGACTTCAAGCGAATCAAAGAATGGACGAACAATCAGATGAGGAAGGAGCAAGAGCAGGAAGAAATGAAGAGAGCGGAAGAGGAAATGCATAAACACGAAACCGAGCGGAGGAAGGTGCAGTTGGAACTGGAGCAAAGAGAAGAGAGGATGAGACGAATGGTTGCAGATGTGGAGAGGAGATGTGTACAAGAGACAAAACGTGTGAAGCAGTTAGCAGAAGAAGTCGAGCTAAGAACTACAGTGGCAGTGGCGAGAGATCTGCGTGCATTCAAGGCAGAGATAAGAACGGACATCAGGCTTACTCTGGCTACGAACACAAAGACCCTGAAGAGGGATACGGGAAGCTCGAAGAAGATTTCAATGCCTATCTGCTGGATGAAGAGGGGCTGACTGAAGTTGGAAAGAAGCTACCACACAGAAAGACCAGGGGAAATAGATCGGCCCGAACATACGGTGATTCTGATGGGTTTGAAGAAGAAGCAAGAATACAGACAAGGGAGGAGTACGAATCGTCCGTGAGGAGAAAAGTGTCTATGCCAGTACAAATGAATGGCACAGGGAGAGAAGTAATTGCCTCAAGCAGCAAAGCAACAATAGTGCAGGATATCTTAGACGCACGTGCCAAACTAATGAGTAAAGACTTCCGAGAGGTGAAGAAGCTGTGTGAAGCTAAGGACATTACATATGTCACAAAAGAACAAGTCGTGCGAGAGCTGGCGAAGCACATGATCTTATCGGGCGAGGGTGGCATTGACGACGGACTGGAAGACCTGCAAGCATATGAAGACCTCCCAATGAACGGAGACTCGCATTGACCGCAGCAACTTGTCTATAGATGCTACCAAGACTTCAGTTCCTACACAGACAATAAGACAAAGATCGGAGCCATCACTGGTAGCCTTCACATGATCCAACAGATGGCGAACAATGGCAGTTCATTGGTCCGCCCATTACTCGCCATGAAACAAGAACTCTTGCACCGGGGCTACCACCCGGCGCTATTCTTCTCGGCCCTAGCAACATTTGTGAAGGGCACCAGTAATCTCAGGCAGCCATGGAAAAGGCTATCTGAGAGCATGGTTTACTGGCACGGCGCGTCAAGACCGCTGTGGGCATATAAGCCTCTGTAAATACCCTAACTAGGGACTGTACATTAGTAGTCGTGTATAGCTTCCTAAAATCTTTGTGAATTATGATATTATCTCGGTCGCAGTCGTGGACATGCTATATCATTTTTCGCACTTTGCCTGTTCTCGAAGTACTATCTGCATCTGCTTACGACCGCTAGGGATAGCATGCAAATGCCTGGTGATTAGCAAACTGTAGTTCGGGATAGCCAGCCTATGTAGCGCGCTGTGTAGGCGTGATTGGAATTGGAACGTCCGTATTTGTTCGGTGGTTAGTTAGGGTCTGTAGCCGCAGGCATGCTGTGATGCGTAGCCTAGAGTCAGTTCATACACGCATGGGCGTGGTGTACTGGCGGGAAAAAAATGAAACTTTGAAGCTGCGCAATTCAAATTTTAACGAATGATGGGGTGGCACTTTACAGACCCGTAGCTGACACGTATATAGTGCCAGTTGTCGTGAATAGCCTGGTCTTTGTGATAGCGGTGGAGTAGGGTCCAGCGGACGCTCCTGCATGATTTAGTCCTATTCAAATACCGGCACACAGGTACTGATCTGGGCGCGGAAATTGTTCGAAAGCGTGGAAAGAATTTTTGAGAAATAGCTATCAGCCCGTATCGCCTGTAATTTGAAATTTGTAGAACCTGCTTAGATGGTAGTACCTAGGATTTCCGTATTTCCCCGGAAATTCCCAGTCATCTTCTACTGGCTAGTACCCGCCCTACTGCAGAATATCTGCAGGTGGGAAAAGCTTCGAAGCATCAACGGCACGGGCAAATTTCAATTTGTTGCGACACAATGCTGGCTCGTAACTGACTACTGAGTAGGATGACAACGCCGCACGGAGAGTCTAGGCATAGTTAGGCAATCTGTATTAATTTGAGGGCACGGCCGTCGGCCCTCATTGCTCAGTGGCTGGACAAGTAGGTGGGTGTCATAAGGCGGATCCGGGGAGAAGGCCCCTGATGACTGCCAGGCACGCTTCCTGGCTGAAACGTGCGTAGGGCAGTGAGCGTGTTTCTTCTTAGCTCAGTGCATGCGGTAGAGTATGAAATTTTCTGTCAAAGCGTGCACGAACGACAGTCTATGGCCTCTGTTCATCACTATTCTTCTTCTTCTTCTTCTTCTTCTTCTTCTTCTTCTTCTTCTTCTTCGACAACAACAACAACAAAAAAAATTACTATTACTGCTTGATTTTCTTCCTGCCTTCCCTGCACCTCTTTCTCGCCATGATTCCACTCCTACCCCTATCCTAATTGCTTCCTCCTCCTCCTCCTCCTCTTCATCACCAGCTACTCCCTCCCACCATTCTTGCGTCTCCTCCTCTATATTAATGCACCGTTCATTCTCCACCATGTGTTCTCACTCATCACTTGGGGGAGGGGGGGTTACTTGTCATCCTTTTCCTTTTTTTTTTTGCCTTCTGTCTCTCTCTAATCTTCTTCTAGTTGGTACCCATCTCTACCTCTTCTGCGTTCTCCTCTTCTTCCTCCTTCCCTATCTGTACCTCTCATCACTCTTCCTGTTTGACCTCCTCTCAGATCATACTCATATTGGGACTTTCAGCTGTGAAGCAGGCCATGAATGAGACCAGACACATGCCCTTAATTATACATCTCCTTTCTTCTGATCCTCCTCCTTCACCATCCTCTCGACTTTACATCTCATCTCTTCTCTTTCTACTGCCTCAACTACTTTGTCCCCTGGATGTCCTCCTCAATTGCCCTACTTCGTCCCCTTCCCTTCTCCTCCTCCTCCCAAGGCCTTCACCTCCTTGCGCTCTCCTTCATTCTCTTATTCTACTTAATTCTCCTCCGCCCTACCCTCCACCTCCTCTCTCTCCCCTTGATTCCATTCCTCCCCCTCTCCTAGTTGGTTCCTCCTCCTCCTCCTCCCTCCCACCATTCTTGCGTCTCCTCTTCTTCACCAGCTAGTTCCTCTCACCATTTTTGCGCCTCCTTGCCCTTAACTTCTCCTTTTCTCTCCTTCACTTCATTCTCGTTCTCCCTGTCCCTCTTCTTCTTCTTCTTCTTCTGCGCGTTGAGCAGACAGTCCGTGTAGGTGCTTCAATGGACATCATTGAGACATGGACGCATAGCGATTGGCCTCGCTGTTTCAATTCAATTTCAATTCAATTCTTCTTCTTCCTGCCCCTCTTCTTCTTCTTCTTCTTCTTCTTCTTCTTCTTCTTCCTGCCCCTCTTCTTCGGGGAATGTGCGCAGGTGCTGAGATGAGTATGCGCTGTTATGTATTGATGAGCATTCGAAGCGTGTACGAAAGGCAGTTGGCCACTGTTTCCACTATTCTTCTTCTTCTTCTTCCTTTTTTTCTCGGTGGGAGGGCCGCAAGGCATGGTCATGTGGAAAGCCCCCTGAGGATGATCGGAGCGCAACCGATCGAAACGCGTGGGGGAGTGTGCGCGTAAGCTGAGACTCGTATGCGCGGCTATGTATGCATTGAAGACGCATTGAAGAACTTTCGAAGCGTGTACGAAAGGCAGCTTGCCCCTGCTTTCACTATTCTTGTTCTACTCGGTAGGTTGGGAGGACAGTCGGCGGGCCGTAAGGCATGGTTGTGCGGGAAGCCCTCTGAGGATGATCGGCAGAGTGCAGCCGATCGAAACGCGCATCGGCGAATGTGCGCATCCCCCGAAGCTGAGACTACCGCTAGTATGCGCGTCTGTGCATTGAAGAACTTACGAAGCGTGTAGGAAAAAAGTCAGTTGGCCCCGTGTTTTCACTGTTCCGTTTACCGTGTTTTCACTGTTCTGTTTTCGCCATTCTTCTTCTTCTTCTTCTTCTTCTTCTTCTTCTTCTTCTTAGCCCAATGAGAAATTAGAACGGAGGAGGGAGTGGACCAATGGGTGCTCGTTGATAAGTGAAAGAAAGCTTGAAGGAGAGACTTGATCGTTTGGAAGGACTGGTGACAGGGAAAGAGACGTTAGTCACTGCATGGTACCCCGACACGTGAACATGCGGGGAAAGCTGGCCTGGAGGCTCAGTCGTCGCGCCAACAATTCAGACACGTAACGGACACTACAGCGTTCGTCGCAAGGTCTAGGTGGCAGTCCAGCCGTAGCCGTAGTAGCTTGTGGAAGTGCCCGTTAGGGGCGGAAGTACCGTGCGGACGAAGCGTCTCACTTGGCGTTCAGGATATAGGAGGGCAAGGCCTGATCAGCCCTCAGTTCTCAGAAGGAAGGTGTGATCGGTGGGCCGCAAGGTGAGGGTGTGTGGAAAGCCCCCTGAGGATGATCGGAGCGCAACCGATCGAAAAGTGTCGGGGAATGTACACGTTAGCTGAGATGAGTATGCGCGGAGTTGTAACGAAGAGCTTTTGATGCGTGTACGAAAGGCAGTTGGCCACTGTTTACCACTATTCTTCTTGTTCTCCTTCTTTCTTCTTATCTGTTTCTGCTGCAGTAGTTATTGCGATCCCCTTGCCTTCTCTCACCTCTCTCCATATTCTTCTCCTCCTTCTTTCCTTTTCTTCTCCTTCTTTCCTTTTCTTCATCTTCTTTCTTCTTCTTCTTCCCTCTTTTTCTCTTTTCTTCTTCGTCCTTTCTTTCGCCTCCTCCTCCTTGACGTTTTTTTGTTGCTGCTGCAGCAGCTGCGATTATTTCCCCACACTCCTGTCCTCGCTCTCCTCCTACTCATCTTCTGCACTTGTTATGGTCGCAACTACCTCTCCCCAATTTCTTCCCAATCCTCCTTTCCCACGTTCGCGCTATTCTTAGCAATAAGGGTCTAATTGCTCCATTCCGCATCCGGCAATATTTGAGCGCATTTGAACATGCAATTTGTCCAGATGCATTCAGAATCTTGGCGGATGGGGAGCGGTGCAACTACGCCCTATGGAGAAAGACGGGGAAGAGAGAAAAATCCACATGATAGATAATCTTTTTTTTAATACTGAATCAATTTTGGACCATTTCTCGATTTATGCTTGTCATCCTTGCGCAGGGGCTATCCTATGCTAATCTTCTTTCTCTGTATCGTTCCAATTTTAACGGATGTCCATAAGGACATGACCATCTTCATTGCACTACCGTCTAGAAGTATTTTTGGTAAGTTTTCCAAAAATAGGCTGGTGAGTAACAACTGACATGACCATCTTCATTGCACTACCGTCTAGTCCAGATGTATTTTTGGTAAGTTTTCCAAAAATAGGCAGGTGAGTAACAACTGCTCCTTGGCAGAAACGTTCAGCAATTCTTTTACTATATTTAGCGAGTAGAAAAATGACGCCATTTCTTTTCTTATCCTTTTTTTCCCCTTTTTTTTCTCAAAAAGCAGGCGGCCTTGTGATATCGTCGTGAAACTCACCGGTCCCAGGTAATTCAGGAACTTACTTCCTTCATCTACATAAAAAAAAAAAAAAAAAAAAAGTTCTCTATCAGGATCCGAACTCAGGTCTGCATTTCAACAGTTCGTGGGAGTAACAACTGAGCTAGGCCGTTGGCGCATTTCTGCTCATCCTCGTCCTCAATCCATAATTTGGTGCGGAGTTTTTCATCCGCTAATTATAAATTTCTGAACATTTATCTCTCTGAGAGATGTACGTTTCCCCCTCTTTCCCGCACTTTCCTTTAAAAAAAAAAAAAAAAAGGCGAAGGAAAATACTTGAGATATATTATCTTTTTGAACTGACCGGCCCCAGGTGATTCAGAAATATTTCAATCTAGTCATCTGGTCCCTTCAATTTTTTTTAATTTTTTTTTTTTTTTTTTAATGTAGACTTGGGATATCTGATTAAGATTTCCATGTGCGCGGGCGTAGCCGCACTGACGTTTTTGTACCCTTCCTTTTTCTAATTGTAGTATGTTTTACCCATCTGGAGTTCGAATTCAGGTCTGCATTTCAAAAGTCCAAGGGTGTACCAGCTGATCTACCTTCTTCCCCCGAGTACAACGTACGGTCATTATGGCTGTATCTAGACAGAAAGATACCTCAAATACAGCTATAATGACCCTACGTTGTATTCGGGAGAAGAAAGTAGGCCAGTTGGTTGGTTCCAGCTGGATTCGAACTCAGCTCTCTAGTTCAACAGTTCGTAGGTTTAAAAAAAAAAAAAAAAAAAAAAAAAAAAAAACAGTTCGTAGGTGTACCAACTGAGCTACGTAGAACCCGTTAGTTTCCCGCCCTTCTTCGACTTTTTTTGGAGCCCGCGCTTTTATTCCGCTTTTCACCGCCCTTCTCTACTTGCGTATTGTGATCATTTACCCGCACTATTTTTATTTTTATTTATTATTTATTATTTTTATTTTTTATTTTTTATTTTTTATTTTTTATTTTTTTAAGCTGCCTTCTCCTCATCGGGGGACAGCCACGGTATTTTTCTCTCTCACATCACATATCTTTTAACTCGCGTTCTGCCATGTCATGGAACATTCAGTATCTTTTTTTTTTCATCGACAAATTTCGAAAATGCAAAAAAAAAAAAGAAATCTATGTAGCACAAACCTACACAACCACACTATTGTTTCCACAGCTGCTTACAAAAGCATGACAGCAGCGGGACCAACACCTAAGACGTGCACAGCTTATTATTGCCGTTTACCGCGCTTTTTCCACCTCTTTGATCCCGCAAGGTTTTTTTTTTTTTTTTTTTTTTTTCATAAGGAGAGAGATCCCGCTGTTCTCGTTCTCTTTCCCGCCCTGTTCTTATCATTTTCCCGCGCACTTTTTTCTGCTTTTCGATCCCGTGCTTTTTCTTTCTTCTTCCCTTCAAGGCTCATCATAGTTGGCAGTGACAACTCACTCTCTCGAAGACTGCGTTTTCCCGCCATCTGTCCCGCGCTTTTTTCTTTTTCTTTTTTTTTTAAACATAAACTTTATATTCCAAAGATAACATTCGACGCCGGGGACCTCACAATTCAACCTGGTGTGTTATCCTGGCAGCATCAGCCAGTTTAGCTTATAGTCTTAAATGTGTGTCATCCTTGTGCTCTTTTTCTCCCGCGTTTTTTTTTCCCTTCATTACACTATGGATATTCCGGTGTCCGTCCGCTTCCGTCTTTTTTTTTTTCTTTTTAGTAAAAAAAAAAAAAAAAAAGGCCTTATGGCCCTCGCTCCCTCTCCTATTCGGGCGACAGTGAGTCCAGTTCTCGTTTTAAATGGATGATGATGAAGTGGGACGGAAAAGGAGCTCACCCCTCAAAAAAAAAAAAAAAAAAAAAAGAGCTCACCTTTACCTTTACTTATAATTTCTTTCGATTGGACCGAAACGACTCCTTTCCCGCCGCCATCTCCTCCTTGTCCTCCTCCTCCGCCTCCAGCTGATAGTAAAGATGATGACGATGATGAGGTGTCATTGTCAAGGAGCACGAAGGAGGACCAGCCACGATAGCCATTAACAGATTTCTTTCCCTCTGCAAGGAGTCCTTCAGCCTCATCTTCAGCCAACCAATCGGTTGCTGCCACGTCAGCATGCGGCGAACTTACCGCCCCCACCCCTTCAACATCACCCTCACCTCCTCCTTCCCTTGGTCTATCCGCATCTGTTTCCATATTGACGGCCACAGGAGCGAGGGACTCTTCTCCTTCCGCCTTTTTCAGTCCCCCCCATACCCCTCCTTCTCCTGCTTTTCGCGCCAAAATCCCTTTCCCGCCAAGCCACCCCCCAAGGCGCGCGCTCCACTTGACATCCGCCGGCCGCCCTCCACCCGCTCCCTGGGTTTGCCCATCGCTAGCCCCCGAAGCGGCGGCGCCGACGCCCCCGCCCGCCTTCCTCGCGTCCGTCCTCTCTTCCACCTTCCTTGTCTCCTCTCCTCTCTCACTCCCACCACTCGCTCTCCCTCTTCTTTCTCCCTCCCTGTCCTCGACGTACTCATCATCATCACCTCCTTCTCCCATCAGGTCAGATCTCTCTTGGCCATGAACCCGCCACGTGCACAACCTCCTGGTCCCACCATCACGGCTAGAAAAAGAACCAACCTCCTTGGAATGCCACGTGAACCCGCCACGTGCACAACCTCCTGGTCCCATCAGACGACTATCCTCTGGAAAAGAGAAGAGGCCACGTGGCATTCCAAGGAACATCCTCCCTCCCTCAAATCGGCGGCAGTCGAAATCCATGGCGCGTTCCCGCCAATGGTATGACGTAGCTCTGAGGACCTCGCAGTAGCAAGAACGTCGATTAGATCTCCATTTGGCAGATGATGGGACGGCCGTACACCTGCCTGATCGGGACAGACCACTACGGAGGCAGCCTCGTGATACGGATCGCGACGGCGCGCTTCTGCGCACACTAGCGCAAAACCAATCATCTTCCGCACTTCGTTGCCGCCGCCTCGGCGCCGCCCATCGTCCGCTAATCCCAGTCGACATCCCCCACTGTTCAAGCCATTGGCAGCGAAGCTGACAGCGCCCCGTGAAGGGCGCGCAGCCACGTACCGGGGCGTACCCATCCACTTGGCGCGAGATCGAACCCACAGGTGCCTGCATTACTCCACCTCCTCTGGCTGCTGCCGATGATACTGATGACGACCCCGCCACGAATTGCATTCCAATAGATTCGTCGCGAGCTAGCAGCGGGCTACGACATGGGCTCCAGATTCTCTCTCTCTCTCTCTCTCTCTCTCTCTCTCTCTCTCTCACACACACACACACACACACACACACACACACCTGTCTCTTATACACATCTAGATGTGTATAAGAGACAGCTCTCTCTCTCTCTCTCTCTCTCTCTCTCTCTCTCTCGTGTTGCGGGATGAACTGACGGATTGATGAGCGAATTGTTCGACAGCGAATGGAGGGCATGAGTGGTGCAGTTTAGCTGCTCATTAGTTGGTTCGGTGATTATATCTCTCTCACAGATTGATTGATCGAGCGATCATGGCCGAAGCATTCACTTTTTAGTTGGCGGCAATCGCTTCAGGAAGACTGTCACACTGGAGAGTTTCACACTAATGTTTGATTTGCCCGTTGAGCGGGGCGGGCGGGCGGGCGGGCAAAGGGAATGATGCCGTAGAGCGCGCCCCCCCCCCCAATCAATGATTGACTGTAACGATATTGATCTATGATTAATTAGCCAATCAATGATTAATAATTGTCGGTAACGTTATTGATGGCTGAAATAAAATTGACGAGCCATGAAATTCACCCAAGAATACTGTCCACCGCTTCAGCCACGTGCCGCCTGCCGGCGCCTTTCCCCGATCCCACAAGACTACTACCGCTGCCACATGTTCGGCTGTAAGCGCGCCTAACCGTAGCCATTAGATGAAACCCTTTCCTTCGTGGATGTAGTGCAATCTGTGGCCTAGGTAGTCCGCTTCGCCCCGGTGGCTGGAGCACAAATGAGGCCCGGACCACATCAGTGAGTCAGGTCCCACCGTACAGCCGTAGGCAATTCCAGAGCAGACCGCACCGTGAACCTACCGGTAGCCAAGATTCTAGGGACTGCAGCTGCCTACCACTAGCTTAGCTCAACCGGCATGACCTACCGTCACACGTGCTAATTGGCACGGGTCCTAAGCCACACGTGCTAATTGGCACGACAGCTATAGGACGCAGTACACAACATGGAGGCAACACTTCGAGGCGCAGAGACGCTATCACTTGCGCCAAGAGACGACAAAATCCAACAGCAACAACAACAACAACAAGAAAAAATAAATACCAACATATAAACGGTAGAGGAGCCAGTGTGGTGGTTGGCCTACGCCGCTTGGTCCTGGTCATTGCCGGGGCAAGGTCCCACTTGCGTGGATTAAGAGATGCTGGCCGTCGATCTTTGCTATCTACGGTCAATATCGCTTAATTCGTGTAAGTGGGACCTAGCCCCCGGCCAGATTCGTGCGAGCACAGCCCTCGTCCACCGCTCACCAAATGTGCAAAATGAGAATGAATCTTCCCGTAGAACATCGAAGTAATACAGAGCCACAGTTCTTGTCGTTTTCGCATTTGGTGAGAAGTATGGCGAGGACCCGTAGCACAAACATAGCACTACGGGTAACTGGTATGGGGCCTGGCCCTACCAGGGATCACGCTGAAGAGAGAGGGACGAAGGCCAAAGCAAGCCCACCCAAGTTCGCAGCCCGTCAGGGTTACGTTTTCCCCCCTGAGACATTTTCGTCGTTGTTCGTTATACGGGTCGTTCATTCGGGCCCATTGGTCGTTCAAAGGCTGGTAAAATGAAAGGCACTGGCATTTAGAGGGGGGGGGGCGCAGTTCAAGCAAATGCAGGACCGGTATTTGGCCGTGGCATTTTCCTGGGAACCGGTAGGTGGCCGTGGTCTAAAATATTTTGAAACGGCGTGGTGGCCGCAGGTCCTTGAAATTCAAATATGAAATGGCGTGGACCCAGGCCTACAGCCTCATGCCCAGCCCACCCACTTCGGCCCAATCGG